GAAGTATGGGAGTCATAAGCGTTCTGGGGTAATAACCTCCCTTCTTCAGATGCAAGACAAGTCTTACCCACGAAAGCTTATGCTCCCAATACTTCTGTTAGTCTCAAAGGTGCCACAGGACCCTCTGTCGCTTTTTACAGATTCAGACTAACACGGCTACCCCTCTGATACTTGACACCATGCAAGGCACTGCATTTAGCTGTATGGAATGGAAATCTAGTCAAAGTGGCTGTGATTCCTGATTAGACACCTGTGGTCTTTATCACAGACATCACTTAGCTCTGTAGTAAACTGTAAAGCCTGTTCTATTGCTCATTTCCACTAACCTCCCTGAATAACCCCCACTCTTTGTCTGTCCATTCCTGCTTCTGTGTCCTGATCCTTCCACCTTCCCTTCCAAGTATCACCTTAAAAACACTCTTCTTCTGTGAGGCCTGTAAACACTAGTTCTTCCCTTCTTGTGGTGCTCTTCTAATAAGTGAGAGAAAGTGGGGAGGTGAGTGAAATTGTGGCATATTAAACTTCATCTTTTAGCCACCTGCACCTCCTCCCCCCCCCACCCCCTTTTTTCTTTTTTGGTGCTTCTCTTTCCACTTCCCTTGTCTGTTCTCTCTAGATTGCAAGCTGTTTGGGGGCAGGGACTCTCCTATATAAAATACCTGGCAAGTTTTCAGTTCTTAAGGATATTTCAGATCTACTTGTCTAATCTTTCCTTATCAGATGACTTGCTACGTTTAACTCTTTTCCTTCCTTGCTTTTTGACTAAGCCTTCTTTAATTGAACAGGCCCTCTGTGTTCCAGCAACCAGTCATCTTCCTGGGAGCAGATGTCACTCACCCTCCCGCTGGGGATGGAAAGAAGCCATCCATTGCTGCTGTGGTAGGCAGTATGGACGGCCACCCTAGTCGCTACTGTGCTACAGTGCGTGTGCAGACCTCCCGTCAGGAGACTTCCCAGGAGTTGCTGTACAGTCAGGAAGTGATCCAGGACCTGACTAACATGGTACGAGAGCTGCTGATCCAGTTCTACAAATCTACTCGCTTCAAGCCCACACGGATCATTTACTACAGAGGAGGAGTTTCGGAGGGACAGATGAAACAGGTATTTTCTAATGACATTTCTTTGGGGTTCAATGAAGTCTCCCCATTGAGAATCTAAATGGTCTTGGCAAATGAACCCTACTGGAGGGGAGACTCCTTAATGGATGGCACCCTGGCACACAGGGCAGCCTGAACTCGCCTTTATCTACATCAGTTGTTTAGATGAAGATTCTTACAAACATTTCTGCTCAGAGTGGCTTGATGGTGCTAAGCTTCAGTTTTGAAACACCTAGACCCTGTAAAACCAGAGGCTTGAATTTTGTGAACATCAAGACAGCCGTTTGTACAGTACTTGGGAAAGGTAGACTGAGTGCAGGTGATCAGATCTGGAAGCCTTTGGGGTGAGAGACTCTTGACGAGGTCTTGTCTGCTCCATGCGGGTGCTAAAAATCCAGTCCTGCTTTCTGGAGAGCTGGGTTTGCTCTGGATTACTCAAGGTTAAAGTTCTCCTCCTTTTCATTGTGAGTGAAATATTGTGGCTAATAGGCTGCCACCCTCCACCCCAGAGATGGCTCTGTTAGTGAGGCTGTTTTATAGCTATATAAATACACTATCGGATCCTTTTGGGGGTGAATGTAAATGTAAGATAAATTAGTTGATCAATTCATACCTTTAAACTCTACAGTTTTTTTTTAAATCCTATTTAATGTAAGTATCTAGAAATTTAAGGTAAGAATGAGGCTTCTTAATCAAACGTGAAGGACAAGGTTTTTTTTAGCAATCTTCATATAAGCAACATTTAAAATTTTCCTTTTGTTTTCCCCCTCAGGTGTGCACACAATAAATTGTGCTTTGGTTTCTCTGAACAGATGTAATTTCACAACAGTACAATTCAATGAGAATACTGTCCTGCATACTGAATTCATCACTTGTACTTCTAGGTAGCTTGGCCAGAATTGATTGCAATCCGGAAGGCCTGTATCAGTTTGGAAGAAGATTATAGACCAGGAATAACCTACATTGTTGTGCAGAAAAGGCATCACACTAGACTCTTCTGTGCTGACAAAACTGAAAGGGCAAGTAATGTTGCCTACACGAGTGGAGGAATTGTGTAGAAATGTGAGAACAGCTGGCTTGGGATGATGTCCAGTTTACTTACCAGAGTAGTGGAATGATCCTACTCTGCAGTAAGCAGTGTTTCTAAGCAAATCAGGCTCTTGTGGCAGGGTGATCCTTGGCACCAAATTGGGGGTCTGGAAACTTGCCTACTTTGTCTCTAAACATGCGTGAGTCTTGTTCACATCACCAAACTGCCATCTCTTCTCAGGGAAGTTCCTGGGCTTAAGATTGCATGCATATAGAATCATAGAATATCAGGGTTGGAAGGGACCTCAGGAGGTCATCTAGTTCAACCCCCTGCTCAAAGCAGGACCAAGGCCCAACTAAATCCCCAAATCCCTAAATGGCCCCCTCAAGGATTGAACTCACAACCCTGGGTTTAGCAGGCCAATGCTCCAAACCACTGAGCTATCCCTCCCCCATTGCAGGTCCCAGGGAGAGGGTCTGAGCCGGGGTAGGGTTGGGAAATTAAACTTTCAGTGAAAGCTTGTGATGTGCCTGGATTATCCAGTTTTAGGCCTACTCTCACCTATAGTTATAATAGTGCTACCAACAGCCCTGTTTAAGTATATACTGACTGGCATGGGCTTTTTCTGGATCCACATTTTTACTGTTAAAACTGCTCAAGTCTAGGAGGTTAGGTACAGAGAGGTGTTTATAGCAAGGTTCCCAGAAAATGACCCGCCACATTGCGAACATCGTTTAATCCTTAGTGTGGAAAAGACCTTAGTACTTCCTCACTTTCATGAGCACTACGTTCACTAGAAGCTTAAAATAAGTCCATCCTGGTCACATGCAGAAGTAAATGTACTAATTACAATCTTTTTCCAAACAGGTGGGTAAAAGTGGTAATGTACCAGCAGGGACTACCGTGGACAGCACCATCACACATCCCTCTGAATTTGACTTTTACCTCTGTAGCCATGCAGGAATTCAGGTAATCTTCAATCTGCACTAAACTTGTGCTGTTGGGAGCTGTTGTCACTCACAGATAACAGCAGCATCTGTTTACAGTTTGAGCAGACTTGCAGTTCTATCAGTTTTATTTAACACATGAAGAATCAGTGCTAAGATTCTGATCTGTCACTTGGATATAAATATCTCTAGAATGAATGATACTGATTCAAGAAGTCTAGAGCTCCATCTGCCTTAGATTGATATAATCCAGTTAAACATGTATTTGCCTCCTTCACCAGGGTACCAGCCGCCCATCTCACTATCAGGTCTTGTGGGATGACAACTGTTTCACCGCAGATGAATTGCAGCTGCTAACCTACCAGCTGTGTCACACGTATGTCCGCTGTACAAGATCTGTCTCCATTCCAGCTCCTGCATACTATGCCAGGCTGGTAGCATTTAGGGCAAGATATCATCTTGTAGACAAGGATCATGATAGGTAAGGAGTGAAAGGGTTCTGTCTCTTTACAGTAGACTGTTTAACATGTCTAAAAAGATCTGTTTTACTTGTAAGTGAAGAATAAAATCCTGATAACTCTTCTTCCTTTCCCTTTATACCAATCACTGATTTGAACTGGCCTTCTGTGTGAAACAATTTGGTGGGTTCTCAGTCTAGTCCTACCTCAAATAGCAATGTCTGACAGTGTTGAGAGGCTAAGAATTGATTGGAGCATGGAGACCGCTTCCCCCTTCTGGAGGGATCCCAGTTAACAAGTTCAGGGTCAGGCAATTTGGCAGAGCAGTGCTCTGTACCTGCCCTGTGCATAGATAGCAGATGTAGGTCTCCAGGATTGTCAGTCCATCAGTAAAGTCACTAAAACGACATTTTAAAAATTTAGCCTTTCTCAGTAGACTGGATATGCCTCAAAAAGCCAAACTATAAAATGTGGTGGTTAGTTCTTAACCATCAAGTTAAATAAAATAGAAGTGTGTAACAGCCATGGGAAGAACTGAAGCTGAGGTCAGAAGAGTCTTTATTACAACACACTTGTGTGTTTTGGTGTTGAGTGTTTTTTAAATCATTACTCTTTCCATTAGTGCAGTGTGAGCTTTTTTCCAGTCTTCATTATGGAAAAAAAATATTTTTCTTTATGTAAGTTTGAAAATGTAACTCCAACCATTCTGCCTCCCTGTGCCCTTAAATGGGTTTGTATTAGAGCTGCTGCAGCTAAAGCACTGTAGTAGAAAGTTAGGGTTTCCTTCTCTCCAGCTCCTTGTGCACTTGGGAGGAATCATAAAACTGAGTTTCTGGTGACTCTTGTTCACAAAAGATCCCTTAGTACTTTTCAGGTGGTGCATTTGAGGCAGCATTGGTCAGAAGATGTATAGGTCCAAATGCCAGGAATGCCTCTAATCCAGGTTTAGTATGGACTCCGTCAGGCTTTGGGCAAGTCACTTCACCTCTGTTTTCCCATCATTACAAAGGAGATACTTAGCTCACAGGTGTTGGTAGGAATTAATGTTGGTGAAGCACTTTGAAATCCTTGGATGAAAGGTGCTGTAGAAGTGGCGATTGTTGGACTAAAATGGAAAGACTTACGTACACTATACTAATGGAGGGCTCCTCCTTGCACTAATCTGTATGATCAGCTACTGGCCTGAGTTAGTGCTCCAGGACCAGACTATCCCTGTAGCCAGAGATCGCAGGTACAGAACCTTGAGAAATGAACTGTTTAAGTGTGTTTGTTTTTGTCCCATTGTACATAGCCCTCTAAATGTGTCTACATCTTTACAGTGCTGAAGGCAGCCATGTTTCAGGACAGAGCAATGGCCGGGATCCCCAGGCTCTGGCAAAGGCAGTGCAAATCCACCATGATACCCAGCATACAATGTATTTTGCCTGAGTCCATCTGGGAAGACGAGGCAGAACCGGCAACCCACGCAGTCCTGAAATGTTTTGAACGCCTACTGCTTATAGCTAGGGCTCAGTTTATTTCAGACTGCATACTACCAGCAGCTCTGAACAGTCGCACTGAATCTACACTTCACAGCAATGTCTGATGCACCAACACAATTGAGCCATTTGTTTTGTTGTTTTAAGTAATAGAAATTCATGAACTGTCTTTTCTGATGCATTGGACTGAATTTTTACCTCAAAGCGCAAAAGGCCGATCATCCTGAAATTTTTAAAAGACTTGGCATGAAAGATTTTTATTGAATATTTTGCTAGCTATGGTTTTTAAGTTATCTCCTCATCCCACTAGTTTATCAAGATGACTAATTCCCTTTCTTCATGCACTGCTTAGTAAGTATGCATATTATGGCAAAACATTTTACTCCAATTCAATTTAACCATTCTATTGTGTGGGGCCATAGATTTTTTTTTTTAATGGAGATTTTAGATTTCACTACTGTAAATGCCTTTTAACAAACATTAACTTTCACAGGCATTGCAGTTTTTTGTCAGTTTTACTAGTTCTCTTTTTAATCTCTGCAGACTTGGGCTGCAAAGCAATTGCACTATACTGCGGATTCAGCTAGGTGGTTCTTGTTCTGTGAATGTGTAACATAACCAGATAGTGATGCCTGGCAGCAGGTTTTAATTATGATGGTTACAAATAATACTGCCATGATATGGTAACAAGTACTGAACCATTTCCCCTTCTAAAAATGAGAAAATATTTAAAAAAAATTAGCTTTTAGATATTTTTCAAACTTTTACAAAAGTGCCCACTTTATGCTGCTGTGTGGTTTGATAAATCTAGGTGATTTTAAAACTTTTCTCATAGAAGATTTAACTTTGGCAATAAATGTTTTTTTTTAAGCCCCCCTGACAGTGTAAAATTCTAGCTGAGGATTGTGCATGAGTTTAACCAACCTTCTTGTGTCGTTTTCTGAACACACAGTTTGGCAGTTTCTGAAACTAATCAGAAAAGACGCACTTCCATGGGTTTTTTTTTTAAATAATTATTTTTAACTGTTTTATATTCACTGGTGTCCTGTCTACCACTTTTTTTATAAGCTTGGAAATTGGGTGTTATATGTAGGAAAGGCTTGCCAATCTGTACAGTTCTAAGTGTGTTGTGTGACAATAGCAACCTGAAGACTGGTACCAGCATTTTAATTCTCTCTCTTCTTCCCCCCCCTCCCTCCCCCCCCCCGGAAATCTAGGTTGCTCACACAATTGCATTCAACAGCATGTTTAAAAAGTGTAAATCAAATATATTCTGTCCCAGACTAGAAATTAGTTATTTTTATTTGCTTGGCTTTTTTCAGCTAAAATGTATAAAAAGGAAGAGGGGCTCTGCTTCACTTAATACTTTTGGAACTCACAAACGTAGTACTTTGAGAATAGATTTCTTTTAGTGTTAACATGAGTTAACACAGACTAAAATCTTATTTCGAGATTCAACATAGCTAACATTACACCACTGCAGAAGCCAAGAGAAGTTTGAAAAGTCACCAGCAATTGCACTGTGGTCTCTGCCATTGGTGTGGGGTTTGCTGCTAAGTATTGTGTTGTTCCCGAGCTTGGAAACCAGCCCTCTCAAAATCTCAGCAATATGAAATGCTGTTTTTTCCTTCAGTCTTCTAAATAAGCTTGTACATAAAATAAAGTTTACATTTTTAAATGCTGTCTTTCAGTTGTACCTGAGTAAGCTGAAGTTTGTCTTGAAGACAGTTTTATAACCTACTTTCAGAGTAGTATGCCTCATTTAAAATTAGTTTAAACTTTTTCTGTTGGAAAATGGGACTGAAGCAAGCTCTGCTCCTGATGTGTAGTGTGGACAGGTTTAGATAAGATTCTTTTTAATTTGTTAAACTTTTTTTAAAGAATACCTCACTTGGATAATAATCAGGACATGTGGGTGGGAGACTGACTGCTGCTTCAGCTAGACGGCTGCTTTTCTTAATACTTGTTCAGGGAGAAAACCCTTTTAGAATGAACTTTGACCCAATCTGTGGTGAATTTTGGCACCTTGAAGAGAAATTGAGCACCCTTTAGCTTATAGGATCAAAGATCACTGTGGGTTCATGCACTAGGCAAGAATGTGACTGATTAGTCAAGGGTGGATAAGACTGAGATTTAACTTTTACCACCAGATAGATAGATAGATGTCCAGTGCCAAGCACTCCTAGTTCAGATTGAATGAAATGAGAGCCTCTCATCTGCTTGCCTGCAATTAGCCTGAATATTTAACCTCAAACTGTACAGATTATGAGACCTCCGCTAGCTCTGGGAAGCATGGCAAGAACTTTCTAACTCAATCTTGTGTTAGAACATCATAGGACTAAAATACTGGTAAGGGTGCAGTGCTCTCACTTTGAGAGGTAGAGAGAACCGAAGAACATTTTAGATTTAGAATTATTGTCATTGAAGGGTGTGTCTTTTGGGAGGTTATAACTGCAAGATCAAAGTTGCAGCAATATTGTATAGAGTTCTGAAAGCTGAGTGATGAGGTGCAGCTTGATGATCTGAATTACCCCTTGGGACTGACTGAATCGTTATGCATGTGTCAATCAATGGGAAGATGTGCATTCTGTAGCTGTAGTTCTTAGGGTGTTTGGTTTTTTATAAATAAAGCCTGTTGGCCACTGTTTAGCTATGTGGTGTGGAAGATTTTAAATGTAGCAAAGTTTAATGAGTTGGGGGAAGGGGCAGTTGACAGTAAAGAAGAGCAGAAACCCCACTTTTGAACCAGTTCTGCTTTCTTTGTAAACCGTTGGATTCTGAACAAGCTCTGGAAGGAACCAGTTGGCCTGTCTCAGACATTCAGACAGGCCCAACTTATTTATTCTTACTGTAAGTACTACAGTTTAGTGTAGTGCCTGTGGCTGCATCCAAAGGGCATAAAAGGTTGTGATAGACAGGCAATCATGCTTCTTAGGCCTGGTCTACACTAGAAAATTAGGTCAGCTTCACTGCACCACTCAGGGATGTGAAGAATCTACACCCTTGCGGGACGTAGTTAAGCTGACCTGTCGACAGCACTAGGTCGATTTGGAAGAATTCTTTCGCCAGCATAGGGAGTGTCCGTACTTAAGTACTGCACCGGTGCTGCTGTAGCGTTTCAAGCGTAGACCAGCCCGCACAGTACGTATCTTGTTCCAGACAAATTTCAGAGCTTATTTACCTATATCAAAAGTCTTGCCCGTCACATGGGCAATGGCATCCTCTTGTTCACATAGTGTTTAACCACATTTCCCACCCCACCCCAAACTACCTTTGTGGATGTGCTGTAGGATTTTTCTTGCTCAATAGCAAGGCAGTAGCTCTACTTTCATTTTAAGAAAGCAGAGTTTGGAGGGCATTGTATCAATACTGTTTCAACTGCAAGGTTTTTTCCTTGTGAAATTTGAGGAAAGATCTTGTAATATCACAGATTTTCTTATACCTTGCTATTGACATTTTCATGATATTTCTATGTCTAGAGGCTGAAACTTCAATGTAAAATGTTTGCATTTGTTCATTTTGACTTATGATGTAATTTTTGTTTCTCTATTGTTAGACTTGTAATGTTTAAAATGGTATTTTATTAAATTTGGACTGGCTGTATGTCTATAGCAATACGAGGTACTCTTTCTAAACTGTTATGGGTGGGTTAGCAGCCCTATGTTGCGATAAGATGCTGGTCGTGTACAATTTGCAATGTATTTTTTTTAGCCTGCAGGGATATTTTGTGTTCATGTGTCCAAAAAAATAAAAAATTGGCATTCTTGTGCCAAATGTTCTGTTTTTTTCCTTGTTGGTGTCTAATAAAAATGCAATGTACAGAATCAGCAACAGTTATTGTTGCTTGTAAACAAACGTCTTTCTTAAATTATTTAAATTGTAAATTAAATCTTACATCACATGTAACTGAAACTGTGGAACTCATTGCCACAGGATATTGAGCCCACAAGATCAGGATTTAAACAAAGATTAGACGCTTGTACTGATACCTTCTTAAATATAATTGGGATGTTAAATAAACCTTCCTGCTTCAGGGCCTAAACCAACTATTAACTGACAAGATGTGGGAAGAAATGTCCCCTATAGGTAGGTTATTCCATAATTGTCCATGGTGGCATTTTTTTACACTTGAAATATCTGGTATTGCCCATTGATGCAATCTGGACTAAATGGACCACTTGTCATATCCAGCATGGCAATTCCTGTATTATCCGGGCACAAATTAGAGTAAGTACAGGAGCTAATCAAAACTCTGAATAAGAAAGTGAGGGATTGTTTCCTTTTAATAATTGCATACTTCTGCAGCACAAGTAGGTGACAAGGGCAAAAACGGTTGTGCCCAGTGCAAAGGGAAAAACAATCACAACTATAAACAAATTCAATACACTTGACTGCTTAAAATAACTTGTATCTTTAATAACCTACCACCTCCTGCATCTCCAATTTCTTTCTGCATCTATTGAACAAGAGGAGGAACTGTTCAGGGGGTTAAATTGAATAAGCCAGTTAGAGGCAAAAAACAAAGATGGGGGAAGCACTTGCTGATGGAGTTGCTTGCCTAGCAGGGGAAGATGATGTCACTTAATGCCTAGCATGACTTCAGAGAGTCTGAAAGTGCTGATGGGGGTGCAGTGGTGCATGGGGGGTCTAGCAGTTTCAGGCCCATACACTAGGGCTATGGCTATAGACAGCCCGTCAACTCAATTAGCTTCCTCCGCTCATTGGGGGGATTATGTCAGCAGGAGAGGCTCTCCTGCCGACATAGTGCTGTACACACCAGTGCTTAAATCCACATAAGTTATGTCATTCAGGAGGTGGCTACTTCACACCCCTGAGCAACATAACTTATGTTGACTTAGTTAAGCTGTAGTGTAGCCATAGCCTATCATCATGTTACTAAACTGGTCGTTGTAATGGTTGGAAATGCAGTGAGAGTAGGCAGTGCATCCAAGGAAGCTCAGGCCTACATCTTCAAAGGTATTTAGGTACTTAACTCCCTGTGTTTTTGGCATCTAATTACCTTTGAGGTTCTGGGCCTATGTCCCTGTTGCTGGTTCTGTTCTGGAATGGATTTTTGGTCTGGCTTGAAGTTAGAATTTACAGCCCAGTTCTTGTCAATTGAGCAGCAGCAGGTTTGTGAGATGCAAGCATCACAAATGTGCAGAGAATTCTAGCAGGCCCCCTTCTGCATTCACTGGATCTGCTTGGGTACAATTGACAGAAATAGGAAGTAGAAAGGGTACCAACGAACTCCAGTGACACAAACCTGACTTGACACCATGTCTAGTTAACGGAAACCTTCCTGCCAATGATGCTGGTGTCATTGCTGCCCTTGGCTAAGGCAGCTCTGTCTGGCACGATTACCCTTCAGAGGAGATGAACCTCTGACCATGTCAATGTTAAGTCTGCTTGCTGTAGATGATTAAATCCTTTCAGACTGATCAGTTCCTGGGGCCTGTGCCTATTTCCATTGTTTCTTGCCCTTCTGTTTTACCACTTAACACTAATGCTCATGCCCCAGATTTACAGTACTTTGTGGACACCCCAAAATGAATGAAACATCAGCTGAGCGTTTGACCCACTAGGGGTATAGCAACAGCCAAACAAAAATGACTTGAGATGGTCAGTATTAACCCTCCTCATGGTTGGTATCCTAGTCTTATTTAGACTACAGCTCCTCCACTGGGGTGTTGGTGGGGTCTGAATAACTAATCCAGGAGGTGCTGCTTCTCATCAAGGGGCTAATGGTGCAGGTCAGGAAAACTGGATCCGCCAACTCTAGAATCCTCTCCTACAGGGGGATGGGATTGAACATAGGTTCTAGGATTTAGCAGAGAGGGGGTCACCTGTCTGATACATATCACACTGTTTATATTATCAAATGGCATCCCATAACAGTGTAATTCACATTGATTAGCATGTACAATGTGTAGTTCAATTAAATAATCCGTTGCCAAAGCTTCTATTACAGCCTCTTAGGGGAACGTCAACAATAAATGGGGTTAGAATGATGCCACAGTCAATCTCCTTTGTTCTCTGAGGAGCTCTGGGCTTTCACGGTTGAAGCACAAGTGAAAGTGGGTCATTTGAATCCCGTGGTCATTATTAACCCCCTGCTTGAAGACTCCGGTGGTTTTGTGTGCATGTCTTCAGAAATATCAGGCAGGCTTTTTGTTTGGTAGTTATTTAAAAAATACTAATGCTAAGCATGAAACCAATACTGTTTAACTGAACTAACTCCATGGGAGTAAGATGTTAAGTTTCAGAACTACCTGAGTTACTGACGTTTGTGCCTCATCGACAACGATAAGAATTTGTCTCTGCCATTTGAGGATCTCAGCATGCTTTACAATTAATTAAACCTCACAATCCTCTGCCTTGGTAATGCTTGTAGCAAAGTATTAGGGTGTAGATTCCAGAGAGGGTGAAACTGAGGCACAAAGGTGTATAGAGCCAAGACTGGAACCGAGGAGTCCTGCTGCCCAGTCCCCACCTCTAACTCCCCTGATTTGCAATGGCATTTTCTAGTAAATTAGCTTCTGCTCTTTAAAATGATAATCTGAGAACTGACTGTGAAAGAAAACTGGGATGTGAAGGTTACTTTTTAAGTCACACCTGGGTTAATCTATCATGCTTTCAGAGCGGTGTGTAGCACAACAGGCCCTGATCTAGCTGATAACACTAAGCATTGACAACAGCAATATAAATGTTATGTAACAGTAATAATGGTAAGGCCCTGGTCAGGCAATCTGATCCTTTGGTATTGAGGGGATAGACATGGTGGTCCAGCTGCATGGATCAGATTGCAAGATCGGAGCTCAAGATTGCTGTGGGGTCAGGAATGTAGGCTGCCTTCTAATGAAAGGGAGCTGTTCCTGGAGTATTTCACACAGATCATCCTTGTGAGATGGTCTTGTAAAGTTCACACTTTGCAGTCAAAGTGTTGCTCATTACTTCTGTCCTCTGCAAGCCCTTGCAGCAGGACAATGGGGAAAACAACTAGTTCCAAAAAAGAAAAGAAAAAAAAAATTCAGTGTCACCAACATCATCCTGGCGGGTCACATTCCCCCCAGAGTGCCTAAGTCAATAACGACAGAAGGATGGATTTGGCCCAGAGTTTATAAATAACTGCTGTATGTGCACTTGCTGATACCACCATATAGAGCAGAGAGGGCAGGAAATGCCTGAGCATGAGGCAAGCGACAAATGCACCTGACCCCCAAGGCAGACTATTTAGACACTGCTGTTCTCAAACAACTGAACGCTACAGGCTTCAGTTTGCTCTCTGCCATCTTCAATCTCCAGGGGCCAAGGAGCATTCAGCATCCAGTTCTGCCTCAGAAATCCAAGAGCACTGTGACCTTGTCCCATGGATGTGGGGTGCTCCCATCAATGCTATCAGGAGTTACTGTTGTAAACCCCTGCTATGCTGATGGTGACTGTAAGGTCTAAGGCCTTTTTCTGCAGCCCCATTAGGACAGCATGAGCCAAGAAGCAGAAAGTCACATCCTCACGTTCCATCTAAACTACATTCAAACAATGAAATAGCACACAGTAAAGAAGCTGCTCTTATCCTAATAGTACCCACCACCACCACCAGATAAACAGATCTAAAGGGGTTTAAAGAAAACTTTGTTTGACAGCATTCTGTCTGGCAAGGAATCACTTATCAACAGTTGTGGTTGTGAAATCTCTACTTCTTTATAGTTTTGCCTGACATAAGAACGGCCATACTGGGTCAGACCAAAGGTCCATCTAGCCCAGTATCCTGTCTGCCGACAGTGGCCAATGCCAGGTGCCCGGAGAGAATGAACAGAACAGGTGATCATCAAGTGAGCCATTCCCTGTCGCCCATTCCCAGCTTCTGGCCTTTATGGTCCTTACTTCTCTATTGTTTACCTGTCTGGTTCTTTGATTTCTGTCTGCATAACTAATTTTGCAAGATTTAAATCAACTAAGGTGGTGGAGTATTAGTGAGTAAAGAATTGTTTCGCAATATGTTAGGATTGGTCAAAGAATTACTTTGTAATATTTTAGTAAAATAATTGGTTAAGGTATCACTAAGCAGGACTCATGTTTCACTATATAAACTGGGGTCCAAAAGGAAGTTAATTGGAACCAACTCCAGGACACAGCCCAAGATCAGAGCTGCCAGATCTCAACACCTGCCAACTATATCGTGCAGAAGCTGGAGTCCCTGGATGACCTGATCCTGACTGGCCACCAGGAAAAGTTTGTCTGCCTTATTGGGAGTGGTGAGCATTGTCTGCTTAGCGTGAGCAGTCTGTGTTGGTGATTGTTAATAAATAGAGGTTAAGGATATATGTGTAAGGCTCTTTCACTAGTAAAAGACCCTGCAAACCCGCAGAAGGTTATGCCCTGAGCTCTAGGAATGGGGTAAAGGTGGGAGCTCTAGAGTGTGCAGGTAAACTGAACACTTTCACTGACCCCTACATTTCAGATCCCAGTTTTTCTTCCATGCCTTTGTAGCCCGGTGGATCTTTTCTTTGTAGCTATCCTTACACATTGCACATAACCACAAGGGGGTGCTTCTAACACAGCACTACCGAACGCCCCTGATGTCAAACAAACGAACCCATCCCACTGCAGGAGAATGCCTATTTATTTCAAACAACTATTTTACTGGCATTAAAACAGAATTGTGGAAACATCTCTATTGATCTTGGGTTCTATAAAAACTTTTTTTACCCAAATATAAGTTATGGGCCAAATTTAAATTGTCAGATTCAATTTGGGAAAAGGCATTTTTATACTTCAAAGGAATTGTTCAGCTTCATTGTTGTTGTGGCATTGGATATATTCTTGATTGCTGGTGTATGTGTAAATTGCATGAGTAGAGTTGGCACTATGTCAGCCCTGCCGTGCTTACTCAATGTTCTCAACTTCCCTACCCTATTCCCTCCACTGCACAGCCAGCACCCCCTCCCCTAACCCCACACTGCACAGCCAGCACTCCCTCCCCTATTCCCCCCACTGCACCCCCAGCCCTCATTGCACATCCAGCACTCCCTCCCCTATTCCCCCCACTGCACCCCCAGCACTCCCTCCCCTATCCCCCCTGCACACCCAGCACCCTTTCCCCAGCCCCCCACTGCACACCCAGCACTCCCTCCCCTATTCCCCCCATTGCACCCCCAGCCCCCATTGCACCCCCAGCACTCCCTCCCCTATCCCCCCTGCACACCCAGCACCCCCCATTGCACCCCCTTCCCCAGCCCCCCACTGCACACCCAGCACCCCTTCCCCAGCCCCCCATTGCACACCCAGCACTCCCTCCCCTATTCCCA